ATGGTGGAAATTGCGCAGCTATTGTAATTCGATGGAAAGGTGAACGATGCTGGCACGACGCTAACACCAACAACACTTGACGCAGGCTATAGTTGCGCATAAACCAGTAGTTTCTATTCTGTGAACGCTCTTCCATCGGATGAAACACTTCCACCACCACATCGTATAATAACGCAGCTAAACCTATTCTAATTAGTTGGGCGCGGAACGGCGCTGGCACGGAGTTGGCACCGGCGACTCAGGACACTGTCTATAGCAAATTGCACGAAGGCCAGTAGATTGCGAGGACGGAGCTTATGGCGGTAATCGTTCCTTTATCCTAACCCACTAATCGTATGAAACTTACCTCCACCTTCTACCGCTTGTATACCGATCACAGTATCTTTTCCGCCAAAAACTGTTACTACTGTACCGCGTACTGGTAATCCCGTATTCTGTGAACGCTCTAATTCCATCGGATGGAACACCTCCACGTCACCACCACATCCTGAAAATTTCATGCAACTAAATAGGTTGTAAAGTTCTGACCCAAGGTTTTGTTTGGACGTTGTGACATCAATTGTCATTGCAGACAGGTCATATATCATTTGCGCTAGAACGTCAGCTGTTGCGGTATTCATCATCAACCGCTTAGGGTTAAGAAAATTAGGTAAATCGGGGTACAAATAAAGAAACTGCAGGGCGCGAAGGAGAATGAGGTATTCCTGACACGATTTTTTGAGTGCCAGGAAAATTTTGAATGAGAGATAATTCTGCTATAAATATTTCAATAAGCTTTACGTATAAATTTGCATTGATGAAGTCAGAAAAAAAAGCGTCTATATAACTTCACATTTATGATAGTGTATGTAAATATCAACCAGTTTTGTTTGAGGGAAGGGGAGGAGGGAGGACAAAATTTCTGCGGACAAAGATAAATTTTGCATGGTGTTAACCAATTGTGTATATTTTTTGGAATGCTTTCCAGAATTTTTGTGGCTCACAACCCTAAAATTTCAAAAAGGGTATGGTGCCAGTCACGCACCCCAAATTTTTTTTACAAGGCTGCTTTGAATTTTGAAAAATTCTAAATGTTATTTCAAAAATTTTCAAGTATAAAAGTCCCTTGCACATTTTCATAATTCACATAAGT